AAACTCCTCCTTTATCTTGACTTCCTCTGAGCCCTGGTCCTGGAGAGGTCTAAGAGCCAGAAAGGGCTGTCTGCTCTGCCGTAGGAATAAGCATGATTACTTCAACTCCAGGTAAATGTCAGGTTGCTGCAACACTGCTAATTTAAAGATTCATATGCCATTGTAAAGCATTGCAAGATGTGGAGTGTGCTGATTTCTGAGGCAAATGTGTTCTTTGATTGTAAAAATTGCTGGTTTAATTCCTGTCACTTTAAATTCTGTCCATTCATTTTGTCTCCAAATCTTACGCTGACTTCCCTGTAAATCCTGAGAATAAAGTTTTGTAACCTGAAAAGCAGAAAAGTATGCTTTTATAAACTACACAAATGTATGTTTAAAAACACATCTTTGAATACTTTCTTTCCGTCTTTCAGAAAATTATGACTTACTTGTTTGACTTTCCACATGGACCAAAGGTATGTGATTTCTAGACTGCAGTTCCAATAGAAACTGATGTGCCTAATTATCTGTGTAGCTGGAAAGCATTTTAATCCCTCTTCTTCGGCTGCATGGGATTAGTTGCTTTAATCTAGTTAAAATACACTTGCTGGTTTGTGTCCTGTTTGAATGGGATCAAAGTAAATACAACATAACAAAGAGAAAAGAGGCATCATCTGGTCTCAACCAATAATCTATCTTAATGATAACATTATTTTAGTGATAACACATTTTAACTGTGGCATTTTGCAGCCAGGTTTCTTAGAAATCTAGAACAATGTTTTAGGTGTTGCTAAAAACAAACCAAAAAACCTTGATGGAAACAAAAGAGTTTTCTAAAACAGCAGAAATATTTATGGCTGATTGTGCCTTGACTATGGTAACTCCAAAGGTTTTAATCACGCTCTTTCTATTTTTCTGAGGTCAAAACTCAGCCTTCCAACTTTTGGGGAAAACCTTATGGGCTGAATTTCTACTGCTTTCTCAGTCTCCTAGTGGGAGGCTATCTCATGCTCAAAAGATGTGTTTTTACACTGTGCTCTAAAGGTGAAGGTGGCCAAGGGAGAAGTTTGCAGATCACCATGACTGATAGCTTAAAAAAAATCCATGTTGTGGTCTTGATCTCAGAAAGAGTGGAAGCATGGAGCAGAAAAGGCCCGTGAGTGCCCAGTGTCCCTTGGCCAGGGCTGTGATTTAGAGCTGTGCTCTGTGGAATAGAGTCCAGGCATTTACCCACTCTTGGCAAAAGTACCAGCATGGCCAGTATCAAAGTAACAGCTGTGAAGTTGCACATGTCTGGGTCTATGCAGGATGTCACCTTCAGAAACAGTGGCAGCGCTGTCATTTACAGCATCTCTTTACACAACAGCTGTGCTGTGCCATGGATGCTCAGTGCAGTTCTCCTACCTCACACCACATCCTCAGTCCTCACTGCTAGGCTGGGTTGCGATGGGCTTGCCACAAAAGGGGAATGCTTTAGGTGATGTATTGGCAGCCCAGCGTTGTACCACAGGAGAGGTATGAGCTAGGAGATTTTGATGGAGCAGCAGTGTCACAAGGGTATGGCTATTGCCAGTAACGCTCCAGTTAAACTCCCTGTGGTTGATTTTGTTGTGCCTGGTTCAGGGGTTTGGTTTTGCCTTTGCAGCCTGGAAGTGCCCATCGGCCCTGGCAGTCCTACTTCGACCTGATCCTGGTGGATGCGCGAAAACCCCTCTTCTTTGGGGAAGGCACCGTGTTGCGGCAGGTGGACACGGTGAGTATTATATGGAGGGTATCTCTATGGCTGGAAGGGCTTGTGAACCTCCTGTGTGGCAACTCTCAGTGGCAACAGGTAAAACCTGTTTAGACGGAACCTGCCTTAGAAATGGTGGGCTGGCTTGTCTTCTTAGTGATTCCTAAGCAACGCCATCACCTGGGGCACAGCAGATCTCGGGACTTTGATGGCTTCTGTAACGTACCTCAGGTGACAATAGGTTAAGAGAATGTGGAAAGCCACGTCTGGGCTGCCTGGGAGTGAAACAGAGAGCCAAAGAATAAAGTATCAATAGGACAGAAAAGATCCAGACCATCAGCTGTTCTGTACTAACGCAATGACTCCTTTCTCAGGTGACTGGGAAGCTGAAGATTGGTACCTACACTGGCCCACTGCAGCACGGCATCGTGTACTCAGGAGGTGAGGCAAGAACCCTTCTTTTCTTGTGGAGTGGTTCTGAAGTGCCCTCATGGCCCCTTGTGGCCTTTATCCACTCTGGCTGTGAGAGGACTTGTGCCAGGTGCTAGGCAAGGTTGTGTTTCCCAAAGAACATTGTACTGTGTCCTCTGCACGCTGCACCAGATGCTCTCCATCATCACTGATACCCAGTGCAGGGAAGAAGTGGGCCTGTTCCTCGTCAAATGCCCTTTTTTGATTTGCCAGGGAGGGTCCAGGAAATGCCACGGCACGGCTTGTGGTGGAGCAAGCTGCAGCTGGCCCAGTGCAGCTGGCCGAGCTATGCTTATGATGCTGCCACCAGTGTGACCATGTTTGGAGGGTCCCCTGAGCCATGCAAGGGCAGCTGATGGATATAGAGGGCTGTCTGACGCCCAGGGCTCCGTAACTCTCACGTGGGATGGGAGGCAGCACGGCCCCTCTGTTGCTGCCATTTATGTGGAATGGTGCATGAGCAAAGCTGCCCCTGGGTGAACTCCCAGACGGGTGGGCAGTGCCCCGTGCTGCCATGGCCATAACGGGGTGCTGTATTTAACAGTGGAGGTTTCTGGGAGGAAAGTGTACCTCCTCTGTCCTGGTTTTCTGAAATGAGGAATGTGTTTCCTTTGTCTCCCCATTCTGAGCCATGCCACTCTTCATTCAGGCTCTTCGGACACCGTCTGTGACCTGCTGGGGGCCAAAGGGAAGGATATCTTGTACATCGGAGATCATATCTTTGGAGACATCCTCAAGTCCAAGAAGCGCCAGGGCTGGAGAACCTTCCTGGTGATCCCCGAGCTGGCGCAGGAGCTGCACGTCTGGACAGACAAAAGTGGTCAGCAGCCAGACAAACCCCAGGCTAAGCTTTGCTCTTGCTTGCCTGATGCTGCACCCCTGAGATCACCAGGGCATAGGGGTGCAGAGGAGAGATCACACTGGCTTGTCGCTTCTCCTTTTTGCCCTTTTTCCCTTGGTCTGGCTGTTGGTGGCAGGAGCTGGCGCAGCTCTCCATGGGCTTGCCTCAGCGTCCCAGCCTTTCCTGTGCTCTTTCCCAAGCTGCTTGTGTGTGATCAGCCAAGCGCTGACTTGATCAGGGGAGAAGGTGCAGCTGCGTGAGGATGGGTTGTTCCTCACCCATAACCCTCCCCGAAAAAACTCCTCTCCCTCTGCTTGTATGGAGTCGTGGCTTCTCTGATAAAAAGTATCTGACAAGACGCCTGGGTTATTCTCCCTATAATGCCTGAGCCATGACTGCTCTCCCATCTGCAGGGAGACCCTGCTCACCAGCCGCTTCCTCCTCCTTCCTCCTGCTTACTCTACTGCTCTGCTGCCAAAGTGCTGTGTGTTTTCCACCCTCCTGTGCTACTGCTTGTCTCCTGGCTTTGCCCTTTGGTGTGTAAATAGGTGTGGGGGTTATGCAAGTTGCCCCATGGACAGTTGGAAGGTTTTGGTGAGGGCTGCAAAGTTTCAGTCTCAGAACTGAAGGGGGCAACAAGAAAGCAAGCCCAGAGCTCTGCCAGTGGCACAAAGCACAACTAACCCCTCTCCCTGCACAGTGGCAGTGAGGTGCCATGCTTCTTGATGCAGTGCCCCTCCTCTGCTATGCAAGGGGAACGGGAAGGATGGTGGGTTTGCTTTCACCCCTTTTCACTTACTTTAACAGCTTAAACTTACCTTTCCCCCTCCCTTTCTTTTCTGGATTTTCCAGCCCTTTTTGAAGAACTGCAGAGCCTGGATATTTTCTTGGCCGAACTATACAAGTGAGTGTTCAAACAGTGACAACTTCCCTGCCACCTCTCCCAGCCTAGCGACAGCTGACAAGTGGCTCTGCTGAAACCACGGGGTTTGGGTTGGTGGCACTGCTGCCAGAGCTTTAAATCAGGCCTGGGCTCTGCCTGCGAGACCAACTTTCCCCTCCAGACCAGCCTCCTTTCCCCAAGCCCCCATCCCACAGCATCTGGTTCTGAAAGGCTTTTCACACCATGTGTTTACCTTCTCACCTGTAACTAGGCATCTGGACAGCAGCAGCAATGAACGCCCTGACATCAGCTCCATCCAGAGACGCATTAAGGTACCAATCATAAAAATCTCTTTTCAATCTCATCCTGACTTGTATCAGGAACATTGTGTCTAGGAGGAGTAGGGGAGTAATCGTGCCCTGTACTTGGCACCGGTGAGGCCACAGCTTGAGTTCTGTGCTCAGTTTTGGGCACTGCAGTATAAGAAAGACATTAAGGTGCTGGAGTGGGTCCAGAGAAGGGAAACGAAGCTGGTAAAGGGTCTGGAGAACAAATATTACGAGGAGTGGCTGAGGGAGCTGGGATTGTTAGCCTGGAGAACAAGAGGCTGAGAGGCGATCTCACTGCTATTCTACAACTACGTGAAAGGAGGTTGTAGTGAGGTAGGTGTTGGTCTCTTCTCCCAAGTTACTAATGACAGGACAAGAGCAAATGGCCTCAAGTTGCACCAGGGGAGGTTTAGATTAAATATTAGGAAAAATTTCTATGCTGAAAGCGTGGTGAGGCATTGGAATGGGCTACCCAGAGAAGTGGTGGAATCACCATCCCTGGAAGTGTTAAAAAACATGGTAGTGTTGGTTAGATGGTAGAACTAGATGCTCTTAGGGGTCTTTTCCAACCCTAATGATTCTATAATCCCTAAGGGCTTGACGGCCCAACCCCACTGCTCAGCCCTGAAAGGTTTTGCTCTGCCTTTGGGTGGGCTGAAATGCTTTGCTCTGCCTTTGGGCAGGCTTGGCAAAGCTGCTCTGTCTTTGTGGACACAAATGGGGAAGCTTCTCAGCTCACTGGTGTCACTGGGGCTCCTGAAAGGCAGCCTAGTCTGGAATAGATCTCCTTCCTCAGCCACACAGCAGCACTGCCTGATGGCGCTCGCTGCTGCAGGGCAGGGTGTTGGCACACAGAAGATTGGAGGGGCTGTAGCCAGCCCTGGGGTGCCAGCCTGCAGCAGGGGCTGGCCCTGAGCCTGCTGCTGCCCTCCTTTCTGCTGGCTAGGACTCTGCTGTACCTTGATGCTGTGGGATATGAGCACAGAAAGCCTTGCTGGAGATCCTTGCAGATCTGACGTAGCCCCCAGCACGCTCCATTGTTGTCATGGCTCTGTGCTGCTGCCTGCCCGGTGCAGGATCTAATCTGCCCTTTGCTTGTAGAAAGTGACCCACGACATGGACATGTGCTATGGGATGATGGGGAGCCTCTTCCGCAGCGGCTCTCGGCAGACCCTGTTTGCCAGCCAGGTGATGCGCTACGCCGATCTCTATGCAGCCTCCTTCATCAACCTCCTTTACTACCCCTTCAGCTACCTCTTCAGAGCCGCCCACGTCCTGGTGAGTTGCAGCCCACAGGGAGGTGGGTGGGGGTACCAAGGGTGCCTGCACCTTGGAGGGCTGGGTGGCACTTAATGCACCATGGGCCAAAGGGTCACATTCTGGGGTTTGTTCTCCATCTGTCTCAGGGACATACCCTGGGACTGGGACACCCCTTGCCATCTCCTCTCTCTCTCTCTTACCTGTGCAGATGCCACATGAGTCCACGGTAGAGCACACGCATGTTGACATCAATGAGAAGGAGTCGCCGATGGCCACACGCAATCGCACCTCAGTGGATTTTAAAGATTCTGACTACAAACGGCATCAGCTGACCCGCTCCATCAGTGAGATCAAACCGCCCAACCTCTTCCCCCAGGCACCTCAGGAAATCACACATTGCCACGATGAAGATGACGATGAGGAAGAGGAAGAGGAGGAGGAAGAGGAAGAGGAATAAGAAGGAAAAAGCAAAGCGTCTCTGAAGATAAACCATGACTCTAGCAGTGATCAGGAGCGGATTCCTTTGTTGGGGCCCTTGGGGTGATGGGTTGGGGGGGGTGTGATTCTTGCAGAGGCACATTTTGAAAGTGTCCGGAAACTTCTAACAAATTAACACTAATTAGGAGGAGACCCTTGTTTTCAGTTTTGCAGACGGTTCAAAAAGCTGATAAGATTCTGCCTGGATGATGCGTTCAGATTGGACTGCCCACCTGTGCTGTCGTGCTGCTCCCATTACATTTAGGGATGCTGCATGTTTCTCCCTTTCTCGTGATGATGTTTCATTTGATTTTCATTTGTATGGTGTCCTGTGAACGGTTTTTGCCATTTGTTACGTTTGCTGTGAAGAAAGAAGGGATGTGCTGGGCCCCGCAGGAGGCAAAAATGATCCAGATCTTCCTGCCCGTTGGGTTGCTGCCCTTAACCCTCTGCTTCTGAGTTACGAACTCCCCACTCCCCGTGTTAGCCAGGGTGTTGCTGTGGCTTCCAACACTGTTTACCCTCTGCTTGGCGTGAGTTTCTCTGTGTAAGTGGTTCGATTCCTCTAGCCATCAAGGATGGCAGTGGGATTCCAGCTCTTGCATATCTGTAGCTGTACATGTTTTGGCTTGTAGATGCTTGTTGCCCTCTCCCCGTGTTTCAAAGCTCTCTTTCATCATCAGCAGCACGTGATGCATGATTTCTGGCGCATTTCTCAAACAGCTGAGCTGCACACTGTGTTCTCAACTCCCGTAGTTTCAGTAGTAAATATTAACCCAGGAGTTTGAAGCTACTGCTTTAGCATTATGTCAGTCGGTTTGTTTTCCTACTGCCTATTACTGACCTTTCTGTCCGCTCAGCTTTTAAGAAAGTGAAGCATCCCAAAGACAAACCCAGCCACCATCTGGAGTGAAAGGGCGTTGATTCCACAATGCTGCAGGCCACGCGTGTCTGTCCTAAACTAGGGAATGGCATGTGCCTCAGGGCCAGCCCTATGGTGGGAGCTGGGGAACCCCAGCCCAGCAGGCAGCTGCCCTTGCCTTTGGCCTGGCGTGGATCAAGCGGAGCCTCATCGCAGGCTACGGTGGGCAAGGCTGTGTCCCCATCCAGGGAGGGTGACAGGGGACAGGGGGTGCCCCACGGGGAGGGGCAAGCAGTCCTGCCTGAAAGCCAGCCCGGGGAAGGCACAGAGCCAGCATGCCGCAGTGCCCTGCAGTTTTCCTCTCTATCATGGGTGCAGCCTCCCTTACTCCAGCCTGTGCCGTTCGCTGTGAAGGGATTACAACAAGGGCCCTCTTGTAATCAATTCGACTGTTGTTTCAGTACCATAAACTCATTTAATCTTCTTTTTTTTCATTTTAAAGTACCTTAGGAGAAAATAAAGAAAAAAAACACACCACCAACATCTGAGCAGGAAACACTGCTGCTGTTGTGGCAGTTGTTCAAGTCAATAAATGATGATGTTTCTAAGAAACGCCTGGTGCTTTGTGGTGCGTCGCTGAGATGATGAGGGCTGTGCTGGAGGTGGCAGGGACTGAGGAAGAGGGAAAGCATCTCCAGGACTTGGTTGTAGGAAGCACTGGTGAGCAGTGGCTGTGGATCTGGCTTTAAGGGCTTGTGTAGTCCCTGGGGAGCAGGTGGGCAGGAAGCCATGGGGTGGGGAGCACGAGGCTTTTGTTAGCCCCATTGGCTTCAGGTGGGAGGCACGGGGAGACAAACACTGTGGCCTGGATTCAGAGAGCAAGGAGAGATTTTTGGTGGGAAGGGCCACATCCCCCCCTGCCACCACCTCCAACATTCCACCTTTCCAATAGGCATTACCAAGGGTGGCTCCACACCACACACAGCCAGTGCCCAGGGTGGCGCAGCAAGGCCCATGGCCACCAGGAGCTGCAAACCTGGTTAAACAGAGAAAAAAATACCCAGAGCAGGCCAGTGCTGCTGCAGCGACAGCATTGGCTGGCCTCGCCGAAAGTCCTGTGACCCCATACCAGGTGGAGATGGGGACCAGCACACTGCTCTGCTCAGCCCTCGCCTGGAAACAAACCGCGGTATCAGCCAAACCAGACCAGGCCCTGCCACCAAAGCTACCACAGGAGGCTATGCCGAATCCAGGGCCCAAAGAGCCAAATGGAAAAGCAGTGCTAAATGGCTGCAGCTCATGGCCAACGATCAACAGCCAATGCTTCAGGGGCTGATAAAACCCAGCGATGGGTCCCTGAGCCCTTCATTTTGGGGTCTGGAGAGAAGCTAACATGTACCCACAGCGAGGCTGGCTGCAGGAAGGGTTTGAGGGAGCTGTTCCTGAGCCCTTTCAGTAACGACCATGCTGGGTGTTGCTGTGTTCAAATCTCATTTCTCCAAGTATAGCCACTTGAATTTTTTAAGCCTTAGCTCAGCAGCTGGGGAGGGCATTCGGCTGCAGGAAGGGAGGCCTGGGGAACTCCGTGCATTCCTCCTCCTTAACCAATTGCCACAAATAGCTCGCTCCCAGCCTAGGGCTATTTTCTGACTTCGATGGGGAGAAGACACTTCAAGGCTGGAGCAATGGAAAGTATTTGACCCTCACTTGATGGTGGGAAAATGGCAGGCAGAGCCTGACAGTCACAGAGGCACTGCTCTCTGCCCCTCGTGCCATGCTGCCCATCTGGCACCGGCTCCGCAATGGTATTGCAGTAAGAAACTGCTTTGTGAAAGCCACAGTGCAGCTTCTTGCCCTAGCTGGCACAGTGGGCATTGTCACAGCCCACTAGCCCACACCTCTGGCAGGCAGCGGCCTTCCCCACAAGCCCGTGGCCAGACAGGACCTTGTCTCCAACAGCTCTGCAGAGCCCCCACGAAAAGCCACTGTAAGCTGCAGCTGCTGCCAGGCTCCCACCCTATGGCCTGATCACCCATGCTAAAGCATGAGCATGCTGCTGTTCACCATCAGGCAGCTCTCTGGAGGTCATGGTGGCTTTGGGTTGACAGTTGGACTTGATGATCTTGGAGGTTTTGTCTAGTATTTATGATTCTATGAAAAGCTTGTTGGGAGTAAGGCAAGCACCGGGACACACTTCCCCTTGCCTTGAGCTCTCACTGACCTGATTTCTGGTTTCTCCCACTTTCTGCAACACCACAGACCCACCTTCACTGCTCTGCAGAGATGGAGGGAGCTCATGGTGGGGGCTTACAGGGGTGGCACTGAGAAGACTCACCAGCAACAGCAGCCTGAGGCTCGCCCTTAGCCACAGCCCTGCAGATGTTTAGTGTTAGCCTAGCAAGCACTTCTGAAAAGGTCAGCGTAACTAGAGATGTTCCCAGCTCCTCTTCTTTTACACTCTCTCCTCCACTGCTGCACAAACTCAGGAGTCAGGGTACACTGTAACCACGATGGAGGGTGCGAAGTCCCATGCCAGTTGCTGAGCAGCAGCTATTGCAGCCTCGGTGCCTGAAGCCCCAGCCACCTGCAGCATACATGGACAAGGCATTTTCATAAGCATGGAGCCACCCGCCCACCTTAGCCCTGCACAAGGTGCTCACCTCCAGCAGAAGGGCCCTGGGGCAGGAGCGCAGGGCTGGCCAGCCACTCAGAGCAATGTGGCAACAGTGCTTGTGGGAGGAGTGAATGGTTACCAGGACGTAACAACCTATAGGTACAAAAGGTGACCTTGAGCACAACTCACATGGTGTGTGAGACCTGGCCTTCAGTGCTGGCCATCCAGTCTCTGCTGCTGGAGCTTCAAGGACGCAGAGCCCCCAGGTGCAGCTGCCTTCGCTTCAGGCACTGCTCCCATCCCACTGCCACGGTGCAGCCAACACCCCCCCTCCTCCCTGCAGGGACCTTTGGCACCCACCTGTCCAGGAGCCCGAGGCTTGCCTGCCCTGCTCCTCCTTCCCACTTCACTGCCAGAGCCAGCCCTGCAGTTTGCCTTCACATCGTTTCTACTTACATCCTCTTTGCAGCATCCTGCCTCCTGCTGCCACAGGAGCAGGAGTCCTCGCAGGACTTGCCATTCTCCCCATCCTGCTGACATGACATCAGGGAGCCAGGTCCATGAGGAATGGGGCCACCTCATGGAACAGGGAGACAGGCTGTGCTGGATGGAGCAAAACCCCACACAAGGCTTGAGCAGACGTTGCCCAGCTCGTTACTCCAGGGTTTAGCACCTCAAGAGCTGGGTGAGGAAGAAAGGCCAGTGCAGGGAGAGCAGCTGGTGAAATGACTGCGAGGAGGACAGGGGCTGAGGGATGGCAGAAGCACAAAACGGCCCCACAGGAGGACTGTATCTGTCACACAGGGAAGGGTCGACCGTTTCTCCACAGGCGTGGAGCTGGAAGCAATGCTGGGACTAAGCACGGGGTCGCTCTCCTGCTCAGAAATACGTCTCTGGCACAACTCTGCTGCTGAAGCCCCGATATCAGGGGAGAGGTGGAGGCACATCACACACAGGACAGACTCGCTCGACCAGTGATTCCTGTCCAATGGAGCAGCCATCACCACCAGCCACGTCCCTCGCTGTGTCACCCATTGCCTGCCAGGAACGCGTGCTACAGACGGACAGACAGATGGCATCTGCGCTTACAGACAAACAAACAATATATGGAGAGTAGGCTGTAAATAAGGGGGGTTTATTAGTGGAAGAAAAAGGCCCTCACCCTCAAGAGAACTTCAGAAAGAGGAAATCAGCTGCTTGCCATTGGCACCAGCTTCCCAGCTCCTGATCAGCAAAAGCGCCTGCGCAGCCCTCCCCGGCTCGAGGACTTATGGGCCCAGACCCACCAATGCAAAGAGCAAGACCTGGCTCTAAGGGGAACAGGGTCCAGCCTCTCCGTGACTCTTGACAGTTGGAGATTAAAGAGTGCTGATGATCTGGGTCCGGGATCATTGACAACAGCCCCACCACCCGCATGCCAAAATCCATCCCTTGGAAATGAGGGGGGAGCATGGAGGAGGGAAAAATGCATAAACTGGAATGTTCAACAGAAAAAAAATCATCATTTATCTAAAAAGAATAGAAATAAACAAAATGCTTTTAAACAAAATCACAAAATATACAAATAAATCTGGTACAAAATAAATAGGAAAGATTGGAAATCTACAACAAAATTGGAATAATTATAAAATTCACTTGTATGACAATCAGTATATGAAACGTATACACTTCATTCAGGATTTCAGTTGTGCTTATTCAGGTTTATGTACACACATGGAAATACTGTAGTCAGAATACTACAACTCTGGAAACCTGAAGTCATGTACAATATGATACAATTTGCAAGACCACGTACGATGGCAAATAAGACACAGGGAAGAGCCGGCTGGAGTGGCTGA